GAATTTTTTTACGTGACTTTATATTCACTTATAATTAATATCGCAATTATATTTAGTTTTCGGTTTTTTTAAAAATCACTGGCAAACAAGCATTACTGGTAATAAAATGTATTTCTCTGTAATTACATCACGTAATCATGATTACATAATTGCATCACGTAATCATGATTCTTTGAATCGCACAACACATAGTATGTCATATGAAATTGGATTTTATTACATTAATCATTAAGTTCGTTTAGCTCAATTATTGCGCAATGAAAAAAAAATTAAAATCTAATATCCCGAGACATTTTTCGATTTTTTTCTTCTAATTTAACACGAGTATGTTAATATTTCATTTATTTCAATAAAATTCAAAATTTCTGTAATTTTTTGTAAATGTATTAATATACCTTACATACTTTAAAAAATCATATATTTACGAATAAAAAACAATCAAGTAAATGTTTCATAAAGTAGTTTATTTTAAAAGATCACATAATTATACCTTCTGGATGATTTGTTGTAAAGGTTATTGATAAAGGAATTCTATAATCATCGTCATCCTTTTAATAATCGATAATTATCGCAGATTTGTTAGTTATCGTAATAGATGTTATCGTGAGGATACCATTAAAATATCGTTATCATGATCCTTTAAAAATATTGTGATGTAGAAGTATACCTCCCTGCTATGATGCCTAGTTATCAATGATTAGTATAAGTTGATCATGACGTGATACATTCGAGAGATTTTGCAAAGCATTTTGGTTCTCTTTAATTCTAATGCTTTATGAACTTCAACGCGCATGTGCGAAAATATTCCTACAAATCGCATTGAATAATGGGTTGAAAATAAGATTGGCGTTACGACAAACGCTACGCAAAATTTCTCTATTAGGTGAAATATTTGTCCATCGCTTATCAGATAAACAATAAACTGTAAAACTTCTTTTTTTTTTTTAAATGCTTTTTTAAAAAATGAGGGTGGCAGAGGGGAGAGTGAAAAGTTAAATAAAATAAAAATAAATAAAAGAAATAAAGACGGATTGGCGAAAAAGAGTTTTGACCGAAAATTAAAAATAAACAAAGCAAAAATGCGAGAAAAATGAAGTAAACATCGTCGAGATGTAAAAAAAAAGAAGAAAAACAAGAAGAAATAAAAAAAAAAAGGACTTACTAATTGAAACAAATAATAAAAGAAAAGAAAAAAGTTGCTAATGCTCCATCTTTGCGACTGTGAAATCCATTTATTTAGATGGGCGGTGGGAGGGTGTAGAAGGTGTTAAAATTAACGACCGGGGTTATGTAGGCCCTAATTAAAACTCTTTGTCTGACTTAAATGACGGTTACAGTGTCTCAAGGGTGGAGAAATTCTATCGCCCAGCGATTAACTGCCAAGTGAGAGGCTTTTTAAAAACGGTTAATATTTGTTTGCGTATTATAAGTTTCGCGGTTCTTTCCTTACCCCCCTTTCCCCCACTTCTCACTCTCAAGAGTAGATTTAATTGAATTTCCCCCCTTCCCCCCCACCAGCTTTTTTTATATATTTTTTTATCAGGAGAAGTGTTCGCCCGAAATGAACTTCTTGATTTTAATTGGGCTCATTTTATGGCTTCATTCTAGAGCATAAGCGATGAATTTTCATGGGAGAATGGCTTATGTTTTCAGGATCGGCTATTATGAGTGAATCTCATTCAGTGCGATACTAATGAGCATTCGACACTTTGTTCCGGAACCATCAATAATGTTAAATAATTGCGCTGTTTTTATAAGCTTGTAAATACTGTGCATAATTGAATTGAACATTATAATATAAAACCTTACTTTAAATATTCATTGAATAAAATTAAATAATTTGTTTTGCTCTAATATATATTTAGATTTTTTATAATCAGAGACTTGTCTAAAAACGACAATTTGTATTTTCCAGAAATAAACTTTTTTATTTTAAATAAGCTTAATTTATGACTTGATTCAATTGCATGAGAGATAGATTTTCAGGATAAAATGGCTTATGTTTACAGGATCGGCTATTATGAGTGAATCTGATTCAGTGCGATGCTATTGAGCATTCGACGCTCTGTTCCGGAACCGTCAATAATGTTAAATAATTGTGCTGTTTTTATAAGCTTGTAAATACTGGGCATAATTGATAGAAAATTATAATATAAAGTGTTATTTAAAATATTTATTGAACAAAATTAATTAATAATTTAATTTTTCTGATATACTTGGTTTTTATATTCAGAGACTTATTTAAATATTTCGACAATATGTATTTCCCCTAATTGGGCTTAATTTTGATTTAATTCAATAGCAAAAACAATAGATTTTCAGGATAAAATGGCTCATGTTTTCAGGTTCGTTATTATAAGTGAATCTCATTCAGGGCGATGCTATTGAGCATTCGACGCTCTGTTCCGGAACCATCAATAACATTAAATAATTGTTACATTAAACAGTTGTTTCGTATTCTTGTAAGTACTGGCATAATTAATGATAGCATCAATAAAAATAATATATAACATTTAAATATTAATTAAGTAAAACATAGTTTGTTTTCCAATATATTCATTTTTTGTTATAATCCGAAATATATTTAAATAATAAGTCAATACCCAACTACACTTCTGAGTTTTCATTGGGCTAATTTTATGGTTAAATTCCATAACATAAGAGATGACCTTTCATGAGAAAATGGCTTCCAAAACCATCAATAACATTAAATAATTGAGCTCTCTTGTGTTTTTGTAAATAATAGCTTAATTAATAATAAGATTAATCAAAATACAAAGAAACCTCCAGGAAAGACAACCTCGGTGTAGTGACCACCTCTATTTACGACCACTTTTGGGAAACATGAAATTTTTTTCTGTAGTCTTTGTGTTGAAGCAAAACCTTTAGGAGAGATCATTGAAACCTTTCCCGGTGAGCGGGAGAACCCCTGCACTAAATGTTGAAAAGATCAAGTAAGGAAACATAAAATTATCAAAACAAAAGATATTAATAAAACAAATAAGTAAGATTCAAATGTATTCAGAATATTTTTAAGTGGCTCTTATTTAGAGATCTCTTTTTGTCGATCTCTAAAAGCGATCGACAACCTCATGTTGCAGTCAGAATGCACTAAAAACGATGCTATGAATGATTTATTTTTAAAGTTGAAAATCAAATTAGGAAACAAAAGTTAAACCAAAAGCTAAGTATTTTAAGCTAACAAAATTTTTCTCAATTTCTGAAGCTAATTTTACTGATATAAAATTAAATGCGAAAAAAACATAATTGTTTATTTATTTAAAATAGTTCTATCATTCATAATTGGTAAATTTGTTTTTTTACTCATAATTAAGAGTCATTTTTAGTGAAGCTAAGATTTAATCATCGATACCAGGGGTCTGTTTAGAAGAAATTTGGGTCCGTTAACGGACCCTTCACAAAATATCTTTTCATAAAAACGGACTCTTCACAAAATATTTTAACTTAAAAACGGACCCTTCACAAAATGATTTTTCTTTTAATCGGACCCTTCACAAATTTGTTTATCTTCATTATTATTTTGTTAATCGAATAAACCCTTTCCAGGGCAGAAAACAAGAAAGATGGATGTAAACGAATTAAGTTTTGTCTTCGGCAGACGATTCTTCCATTATTCGTCCGAAATTAATATTCTGCGTTCAGCAGTATAGGCTAAATACCAAATATTTGTATGTTGCATCTCTAATTTAGAAGCAGCAATTGTTGTTTATTTTTTAAAATTTAATTTTTTTAATTACAATTTTACAGTGTTGAGCATAATCTTGTATGTCTATACAATTTAAAAACTCCATGAAAAAAATTTTTTTTGCAATAACGGACCCTATTTACACAAATTCATAAAAGCGGACCCTGGTTGAAAGAATGTGAGTAATTTTTTCACAATTTCACGAAAAACGGACCTTTCACAAAATGTCTGGACAGACCCCTGGATACGGTTTTCAAAATGCCAACAGAAGTGGCATTTCTAAAATTAAAATTAAAATCGTTTAATTTTAATCGATTAGTTTTAATCGTCTGAAACTAAAATTAAAATAGTTTGCCAAAAAATCATGTATCTTTCGATAACATTTTGAAATCAATGGTGGTAACACCAAAAACGACCGACCTTCATTAAAGACCATTTTAGTGTGAAGCAGAGTGGTCGCTCCAGAGAGGTTTCACTGAAATAACATAAAGCCTTATTTAAAATATTTATTAAATGAAATTAAAAAATTCATTTGCTCTAATATATTTAGATTTTTTATGATCAGAAATTTATCAGAATATTATTGTGTTTAATTTTTATTTTTAATTTGGGGACATTATTTCGAAATACTCAATGTCGTTTATAGTTGAGAAATATTAATAACAATTTGATTCTTAGCCCTAAAACCATCAAAAATAATGGAATTAGAAGGGATTAAGATGTTTGAACCTTTTAATTTCTTCACTTGCAAATACTTGTATTATTAAAATAGCTAATTAATAACATAAAATTTATTTAAAATTTTAATTCATTAAAATGAAAGGCAATAATTTAAAATGTTTTTATATGTTTTGTTTTACAACCAAAAACTAAATCTAATTTCACTTCTAATTTAAGAAATTCGTGTTTAATATCTAATATCATTAATCTTTGATAAATACTAAGTATTCCATACTAATCCATATATGAAAATGCAATTACACGTCACATTCTCTTACAATACTGGAGTAGACAATTTGGTAAGCTAAAAAATAGAGGATAAAATGAACGCTAGAAACCGATCCGCATTTGATATTTGTTATCAAGATTTTATTTTTAAACAATAATGTATTTACCCTCGTTAGCAACAGCCTTTCAATGCTGGATCGAAAATTAATCGAAACGGATCGCAAAAAAATGAATTGGTTTTTAAGACTAACGTATATTTAATGCACCGAAACGACATTGCTTTCTGCTCCCCCTAATATTTGTTTTCTTATACGAAATAGGCTTATGTTTGCTTCTTTTGTTTTAGGCATGTTTGTTGAGGCATGTTGTAGCTAAGGAAGTAATAAGAAGCAAGATGAAGAGAAACATGGCGAGCAGCGTAAGTGTTTTTAAATTTGAGAATTTCTTTTTCTTACAATGCATTAATGAAATTTAGGCTATTAAGAAAATAAAACAAGGTTATGAAAATTGCCTCAATAGAAACTATATTCAGAAATAGCGAAATTTTATTAATAAATTCTTATTTTACTTAAAAGATTCTTTTATTTTAAACAAATTTTTCCACTATTTGTGGATATTTACATTACAAAATAATCACTTTTGGAAATATGAAATGTTTCATGTTACGTTTTCTAACCTATTTTTTGCCTAGCACCCTTTCATAGGGAGAGTTTTTCAAGGAAAAAAAAATTAGTAGCATAAGTGTTTCATTAATACGATTTACTTTTAAAAGACAAGATAGTTTTGGCTACCGTATTATAATAATCATAAATAATTATTATATATATTATTTATTAATTATTAATATTCTATTATTATTATGTATCTGAAGTTTAAACTTAGCAAAGCCCTCACAGCAATTTAATGAAAAGAAATATTAAGCATGTGCTATAGCTTTTTTTCAAGCATGTGCTTTTCATAAATGGATCACTTTTTGCAGTTGAGCAGCAATGAATTAAAAGTGATATTATGTTTCAAAATTTGATAATGAGGGAAGAGAGTGTCGTAGTGGCTCAGGGGTTAGAGCTTTCGCTTCCTATTGAGGTGTCACGGGTTCGAATCCCAGCGATGACTGGTTGATTCGAATTGATGACATAAAATATCCTCAGTGGTAGACGAATCATGGGTTGGACTGAGATGCTAACTTGCTCCGCTTTGTAAAAAAATATATTCTAGTGGTAATGAAATTTAAATTATTTTTAGTATTTTTCATTTTAAGTAGTTTTTCCATCACTGTATATCGAATATTCAAAGTATCATATGAAATGCAACTTTATTGCGTTTTTTTCGGGGTTACTCTTACGAAGAGTGGGCTTAATTATTCTTATTTAACAACTTCTACTATTGAATTCGCTACCAATTTATTAAAACTTTTCCAGAAAGCGGAGTAGTTACATCCCCTGATTAGAGTCCCCTTGCCATCAGGTTAATCATGAGAGGTTTTCGTGGTTTTCCTCTCCATGTAACGCAAAAGCTGGTTAGTTTCATCGAAAAATCACGAGCGATTACTTCTCACTTGGGCCGGATCACGCTATTGGTCGAAAATGACATCACTGTTTGGGGGAAGGGAGATGGTGGCTGTTGGCTGGTGTTTGTATGAGTTTGGCGACAAATTTCGTATGCACACTTGCTCGCTCGGAATTTATTTATTCCTTGCAAATGTTTACTTAATATTATGTCGTCGTTAGGGTGGGGAGATAGGTAAATGTCCACTTCAGCATTTCAGACAATATTTATGTTTTAATTGATTTAAATTCATCAAAGCTAAAAACAATAAAAATAATGAATGTTTTTACAAATATAAGATGGTATAGTAATATTACAAATAAGTTTTTTTTTTCGTTTGTTTGTTTTTCCATAAGAATTATCTTTTGCAGTTATGAAGTAACAAAAATTGAAATAAACATAAGCTCAAATTTACTCATACATCGCAATTTAGTTGTGTTATGAATAATTTTAAAAACTTCATAATCAAGCAACACGTAAATTTAGTTTAAAGTAATGACCAAAATTCTGGGCTAGCCTCCCCCCCCCCTGCATTTCTAGAACAGCCCCAGTTGCTAATGACGTAAAAGCAGTATAGCTTAATTTCACTTACTTAGATTCTAATAAAAAATTACCACAAAACTGTGCAAAATGTGAATATTGTCTTTATTACTCAACATTAATACCACGTGTAAATAGAGCGCATTTGAAAACGCATATAAAATCTGTCGCCAAATCTAGATCAGTCGCCAAAATACTATGCAATACACAGTATATCCCTTCCCCAAACAGTGATGTCATTTTCGACTAATAGCGTGATCCGGCCCAAGTGAGAATTAATCGCTCGTGAAAAATCCTCCACGATGGCAAGTTTCTCTCAATACTTGATCAAGGAGTTCCCTTGTCTTCTGGATTGGCTTCAAAATTATAAAGCTACAGAGTTGAACAATGGTAGTCGTAAGCCCATAATTGGGCTGGCTGTTCACCGATGACTATAAAATAAAATAAAATCAGGGTAGAGAGAGCCGTGGTGACTCAGGGATAGAGCCACATAGGTTCGAATCCCAGAAGTGGCTGATTGAAGCGAGTTCTGTGCCCAGATCGCGCCGACGATAGTGCAGACATAAATTATCCTCAGTGGTAAACGGATTATGGGTTAAAATCCCCTTGCTGTCATGCTAACCGTCGGAGATTTTCATGGTTTTCCTCTCCATGTAACGCAAAGAACGGGTTAGTCCCATCGAATAGTCTCCCACGAAGGCTGTTTTGTCACAATGCTTGATCCAGGAGTTCCTTTGCCTTCTGGGTTGTGTTCAAAATGACAAGACTGCGGAGTGGAACATTGATAACCGTGATTCAGAATTGAGTCGACTGTTCAACACCGGTTATTAAATATTAAATATATGGGGGAGAAATAATAGGGGGTATTAAAAGAAGCCTCCTCTTTGATCAAAGAGTAAAGGTTTGCAACAAAAATAGTTCATTAAATGCATTTGAATGCAACATACGCGAGCTTGGATCCATTTCTTATAAGTTAAACATTTTACACAATGTTTACTGTTAAAATAGAAAGGGGGGGGGGAATTTGTGACTTCTAAAAGTCATATATTTTGTGAATAGTTTCCAAACAGGCGAAGAATTTTTCAACAAAAATATAGGATGTCGTGTGGTCAAACGAAACTAAATAATGATATTACTTTGTGGGGAGCGGAATTTCTTATTTTCCCTTCCTTTTTTTCTTTCCTCTTAGGAATTTAATCTTTTTATTTAAAATTCCCTCTTCTTTTCTTTTTGTAGCATGTTCATTTTTGGAAGTAAGGAGGGAAAAAAGTGTGCCCCCCTCCTGCATGTACAAACAAAATTCCCCATTGAACGATTGATCGATAAAAGAGAATGAGTTGGTTGAGGGGAAAAAAGATGTGCAACTCCCTTATTTTTTCCTTTTTTTTTTTTTTTTTTTTTTTTTTTTTTTTTTTTTTTTTTTTTTTTGCGAGAAAAATGAGTGAAGAATATCAGTTTAAGAAAGAAGAGTTTGCTCTACTCGAACTTATCTTTGAAGAATTTTTCCCTTTTATTTTTTTTTTTTCCCCGCTCTTTTTAATTTTTCAGTATTTTTTTCCCCCCTTGTAAGGAATTCAGGAATATATGAGAACATATAATCTGCTCTTTTGTACGAATAAAGTGATATAAAACTCAAAAGTTTTCCAGAATTATTCAAACTAAAGTTAGTTTTTAACTTCTTGTTTTTATAAATAGTGAAGTAAAGTTTTGAGAAATTTAAATGTAAAATAAACACTGTGTTTTAGCATTGAAAATAAGTACCTTAAAAGTGCGTCTTAGTGCGAAATATTATTATAACTGTTTATAGAGTTCAACTAAACATTCTGCAAATGAAAAAAATATTTTAAGTGTATGAAAAAAAAAAAATTTTTTTTTCCATTTTTTTTCTTTGTTTTCTTAATTAGAGTCAATCCTTTGTCATTTATTCAATTCATTTTTCTGCTCGAATTCAAAAAAAAAAAAAAAAAAAAAAAAAAAAAAAAAAGAGAGATTTGTATTATTTACACTTTTTTAGCACTAATTTCTGGAAGAAAAAAAATGGAAAATAAGATGATGCATTTGATTTAAAACGCATGAAATTTATAATATTTGTACAGAATTATTTCTATTAAACGCTGATTTTCTTTATGTAGCATGCGGCGTAATAACTATTCAATGATTAAAAGCTTCATACTCAAATTTTTTAAGGTAGTATTTTTTAATAATTTAATATTTGAAATATGCAAGTAAAGCTGCTTTCTTAGGTAAAGGGATTCATATTGGACATTTCTCGTAGCCAATTAACTAATGTTATTAGTTTAATTAGCCTTAATTCGACTAATGTCTTATTTTTTATTTTAAACTGCCAACACGACAATATATTTCCAAAATAATAATTAGTTGTTTTGAGTTGATTATTTTTGTAAGGATATCATCAGTATTTTTCGGTTGATGGGAGGGGGGGGGAAACCTAGTAAAATTAAATAGATTTTATAAATTGTAACATAATATTTTAAACATATGCTTCATTATTCGATTTTCGAAATGTGGCTTGATTTTCGAAGTCAGATTTAAAGTACTAAGCGATTGGAATTAGTGATTCGTATGACTTTATTTGATCGGTGATTTTAATCTCATCCGAATCAGTTGATTATAGGATTCGAGTCATTTATATAGAAAAAAATTCAGTTCCAGTCCATTTTTATTACTTCAATTTAGAATTGCAAAATGCATTTAAAATCACTCTTTTCTTAGATTCAAAATCAAACAAAAATGTTTATCTCTTAATAAATTGAGTCATCTAAATGTATTCACTGTATCAACGTAAAACGTTTTTATCTAATTGCACTGTGCAATGTAATTAGATAAAAACAATGTACAATGTTTTTATTTTAAAAAAGAGTGACACATTTTCATCTAAAACGCCTTTTAGATGAAAATATGTTACTCATTAAAAAAAATGGTATTTTTGGCTGAAATAATGAATTTGTAATCATTTTTTGCTTACCGTTCACAATTTTCTTAAAAATCATCAATTTATCTTGGCGACTTGACGTATTTCAACAACTCAAAATAACAACTTTTAGGCAAAGGAAAGGCACTCTTATTAACCATGGGACCGTCATTTATTAGGTGATATTCACGACATTTTTGGTAACAAAAGACTAATCTACCCTCCCGAAATTTCCAAGCTCTAGTAAGAGAGTTATCAGAAAACTTACTAGAAGCTTGGCGACTTTTCTCCTGCAAAAAGGGTAACGCGATAAAGCATTTTGGTTTTGATAACACCTACTTTTTGTAATCAAACACCTTTTGTTTATACAGAATCACAAGGCTATTATTCGTGCTATTTAT